CCTTTCTAGGTTGGGGAAATTTTCCTGGATAATATCCTGAAGAGTATTTTCCAGCTTGCTTCATTCTTTTTGTCACATTTAGGTACACCTATCAAACATAGATTAGGTCTCTTCACATAGTCCCACATTTCTTGGAGACTTTGTTCATTCCTTTTCATTCTTTTTTCTCTAATCCTGCCTTCTCATTTTATTTCATTGAGCTGATCTTCAACCTCTGATATTTTTTCTTCTGCTTGATCAATTCGGCTGTTGAAACTTGTGCATGCTTCTTGAAGTTCTTCTGTTGTGTTTTTTAGCTTCATTAATTCACTCATATTCCTCTCTAAGTTGTTCATTCTTGTTGTCATTTCCTCAAATCTTTTTTCAAGGTTCTTAGTTTCTTTGCATTGAGTTAGAACATGTTCTTTTAGCTCATGGAAATTTCTCATTACCCACCTTCTGAAGTCTGATTCTGTCATTTCATGACACTCATTCTCCATCCATCTTTATTTCCTTGCTGGTGAGAGATTGTGGTCCCTTGTAGGAGGCAAGGTGTTGGGGTTTTGGGTGTTTTCCTCCTTTTTGCATTGGTTTCTTCCCATCTTTGTGGATTTATCCACCTGTCATCTAAGTAGTTGCTGACTTTTTGATTGGGTCTCTGAGTGGATGCCCAGATTGTTGATGATGAAGTATTTCTGTTTCTTAGTTTCTCTTCTAACAGTCTGGCCCCTCCACTGTAAGACTGCTGAGGTCCACTGCAGACCCTGGTTGCCTGGGTACACCTGTAGCAGCTGTGGAACAGTGAGGAATGCTACCAGTTTCTTCTTCTGCTATCTTTGTCCCAGAATGATGCCTGCCAAATGTCAGTCTGATCAGTCCTTTTTGAGGTGACTCTTTGGATATATGGGGGTCAGGGAACTGCTTGAGGAGACAGTTCTGTACTTTATAGGAGCTCAAGTGCTGAGCTGTGAGCTCCGTTGTTCATTCAGGGCTGCTAGGCAGGTACGTTTAAGTCTGCTGCAGCAGAACTCATAAAGTCTCTTTTTTTCCTCAGGTGCTCTGTCTCGGGGAGTTAAGGCTTTATTTATGAGTATCCGTTGCACTGTCCTGCCCAGCAAGGAGGCAGTCTAGTCACTACCTTCCTGCCGAGGCTCTGCCCTGCTGCCGTGGGCTCTGCCCTGCTGCTGTGGGCTCTGTCCTGTTGCCGTGGGCTCTGCCCTGTTTCCATGGGCTCTGCCCTGCTGCTGAGTGTAATTCCCTGTAGTCCTGTTTATATGGGTGTGGTTAGAACTGCTGTGGTAATGGTGGCCTGCCTCTGTATTGGCAGACTCTCTCTGTTATGGGGTTGCCTCGGCAATGGCAGGCTCCATCAGCAATGGGAGAGTACCTCAGTAGGGGCGGAATGCCTTGGTAATGGTGGATGCCCCTGCACCACCGAGCTGCAACATCCTGGGTTCAGCTGCGCTTGCTGTGAAGCTCTCAACCCTGAGCGTTTCCAATTGCTGTTTTGTTTGTTTTTGTGGGGGTGGGACTCACTGAGCCTGATTGCCTGGCTCCCTGCCTCAGAGCCATTTTTTGTTTTTAAGTTGAATGGTTGACTCTCTCCCAGGTGTTTCAGTTGCCTGCTGAAAGGGCACTGGGATCTGTGTGATTTCCCATGCAGTGACCCACTGCACTGGCTCAAACGTCACTGCCCAGGAATCTCCTGGCCTGGCTTACTGTTTAAGTCCCATTTAATCAGATGAATGTGCTAATCTGCCTTCCCAAATCTCAAATTGCCAGTTTAACTGGGCAACCAGACCAGTGTATTTTGTTTGGTGTTTCAGCACTGGCTGAAACAGCCACACCAGCCAAAACAGCTGTGCTGGCATCCCATGGGGCTCCTATACCTGGGAATCTCCTCGTCTGTGGGCAATAAAGATCCGTCTGGAAATGTGGCATCCACTCACCCTCTGCGCTTTCACTGAGAGCTGCAATCCTGACTTGCTCCTATAGCACCATCTTCCTCCTTCCTCATTCACACTGTTAAGATGGTTAGAAATTGTCTTCCCCATAACTCCTAAAGACATGCTAGTTAGAAACCAACCTTTAGGCAGCAGTCAGAAAAGTTTATATATTAGATGTGTAGTCTAATTTCTTTGAGGAAGAAGTTGGGAGCTGGAATTTATTGTTTTTCTGTTCTGCATTGAGCCAGGAGTAAGTGCTACAAGAAGTGTCCATGTATCCATTCTAAACTACATCTGTTTTCTTTGTTGGTCGAGGGGACTAATGAATGCTAGGTTGCCACCTCACAGAGACAGATGAGTTAGGAGCCAGTTGCTCAGGCCTCAGCTGGAAAAGTTGGGGCACTAGATGTGATATGCAAACTCATTACTCTTCAGCTGGAATTTAATAGTTCCCTCCTAATTGTATGACACTGTGCTATGGATGGGGTTTATGGCAAGAGTGTGACTCAGCTTTTCCTATCTGTTTTGATATCAGTGTTGTCTCAGTCACCCTACATATAGGAGTCTCTCAGTTTCTGTGTATTTCACAGAATAAATTAATCCATCTGTCTGTACTGTTTATTCAATAAGTCTGTAGTTTGAGGGAAAGTGTGAAGCCACCTATTCTTCCACCTTGCTGTTGCCTCTTTCTCTCTCATTCTGATTTAATTATTGTAGTTTTTCAATGACATAATACCTAGAATTGGAAACATTCTCTACTCCTACTTCATTACCTTTATTTTTCAGAATTTCCTGACTATTCTTTTTTGATTATTTTTACATTAACTTTAGAAGCCACTTGTGGAGTTCCAAAAATATTGTCTAACTATTTTTATTGGGATAAAGTTATAATTTAAAAATTAAAGAATATTAAACTATTTATAAACTTAAATTTTTCTTTCCATGGACACAGAATGTCTTTCCACATAATTGCCTTTTGTTTTGTATCCATCAGTGGCATTTTAAGGTTTTCCTCATATCAAGCTAATATATTTCTAATTATATTTATTCCTGATGTTTTATTTTTTTGTTGTTATTTTAAATTGGATTTTTTTATTACATCTTTAAATTGTTATTTGAATAGATAAAGCCTATTTGTTTGTATATTGGTATTATACTGGTTGTCTTACTGGTGTTTGAAATAGCTTTTTAGCTGATTCTCTTGTGTTTTCTAGGTAAAAATTTTAGTATCTACTAATAATGATAATTTATTTTTTCCATTCTTATTTTTATACTGCTTACTCTTTCGGATATGTGTTTGCATTGGCTAATGTCCTTACAACAATGATTTCCCTCCATATGTTGCCATGATTTGCTTTCACTTCCTTTAAGTCTCTCTAATTATATGTTATCTTAACAGAGAAGATATCCCTGATAGCTTCATATAAAATAACAATGTTATGCCCTTTACTCCAACTTATCTCATTCCATCTCTAATATCCTCCTTTATTTTTCATCTATAGCTCTTTTCCCATCCAGTATTTATTTGTTTATGTATTCATTGGTTTTTTCCCTTAATACTGTAGTCTTTATGCAAGTGGAGTATTTATTTTTGTACAAAGATTTGTCCCCTCTGAGTAAAATAGTGGTTAATACCAGTTGGTTCTAAATAAACATTTGTCAAATGAATGCATAAGTGTTAAACAATAAGGGCAATAAGGGTGGTAAACAGTATCTTTTAGTTATTCCTCATTTAATGGGAATGTGTCTGTTATTTCCCTATTAAGTCCAATGCTAGTAGTTGGCATTAATGTTTATATAAAACCTATTTTCTCAGTAAAAATTTCTCAAAATTGACCCTTTTTTTTTTAATTTGAGACAGAGTTCTGGCTCTGTTGCCCAGGCTAGAGTGCAGTGGCGTGATCTGCCTGCCTTGGCCTTCTTAGAGTGCTGGGATTACAAGTGTGAGCCACTGTGCCTGGCCAAAATTGACCCTCATTTTAAATTCACTGCTTTATCTATATTTTTAATTAAACTTTTTTTAAAAATGGCATTTAGTTCCACTTATTCATGTTCACAGATTGATACTAGTTTGTGAGTTTTAATAATTTGATAACTGAAGTTAGTGTTTGGCTTTGGGTCTTAGTACTATCTCATTGCTTTTTTGGGCTTGCCATTTTTTTATCAACACTTTTTTTTGTTTTTCCCCATTTTGATATAACACATATAAAGAGTAATGCACAAGGTATAAATGTATAGCTCAACAACTGAACACAAAACTCATAAAACCACTGTCCAGGTCAAAAAATAAAACACTGCCCGAATGCTACAAGTATGGATTGTACCCCTTCCCAGTCATTACTGCCTCTGCACACTTATCTTGATTTCTTGATAAAACATCAGGAATAAATATATTTAGTTATATTTGTTTTTGAACTTTATAGAAATGAAGCTATATAATTTATATTTTTGCACTGTATTCTTTTACTCAACATTATACAACTATTTGTAAAATTTATTCATGTTTTTACTTATTGCTCTGGTTTCTTCTTTTTTAATTGTTGTAGCATAATATTTTATTATGAGAATAGGCTACTTCTAGAATTACCAAATCCCTCTCCTTACACCTTCAACAGGGATAATTCTTATTTGCTGTTTGCTCCTTTTTTCTTTCTTCTTAGTGAGATTTCTGACTTTTTCCCTGTTCACTGTAATTATTGCCTCTTACTTTTCTTTTATTCTTAGCTTTTTACGGCCTATTTAAAATATCCTTAGCCTTTCTGCTCTTAAACACCCTGTCCTTGTTCTGTTCTCTTCTCCTCAAATCCCTCCACCTCACTCACAAAAATTGATGTGTAATATTCATAATATTATGATGAAGGCAAAATCACAGCAATCACAATCTAAATAGCATATAAATGAACTGTTAATTTTTATTTTTTAATTTACTGATAATTTTTTCACAGAAATATCTTCGATTTAAAATCGTGTTTCTTTCTCTTTGACTTTAGTTTTGAGTGACATGGGTTAACTCTTTTTAGCTTCATTCTTCTTGAGTTCTAAGTTTGCCCACCAAACCTGTGTTTCTTTGGGCAGGAGGTGGATGGAGTCTCATTCTTTTGGCCATGCTGGAATGCAGTGGCACAATTTCATCCCACTGCAACCTCCGCCTTCCAGGTTCAAGTAAGTCTCCTGCCTCAGTGTCCCGAGTAGCTGGGATTACAGGCATGCGCCATAATACCCGACTAATTTTGGTATCTTTTAGTAGAGACAGGGTTTCTCTATGTTGGTCAGCCTGGTCTTGAACTCCTCGCCTCAAGTTATCCTCCTGCCTTGGCCTTCCAAAGTGCTGGGATTATAGGTCTAAACTACCATGCCCGGCCTCCACCAAAGTTGTTTTTTGATTCTTTGTTTTTTTGAGATGGAGTCTCCCTCTGCCCCCCTTGCTGGAGTGCAATGGCAAGATCTCGGCTCACTGCAAGCTCTGCCTCTGGTGCCTCAGCCTCTTGAGTAGCTGGGATTACAGGCACCTGTCACACCATGCCTGGTTAATTTTTGTATTTTTAGTAGAGATGGGGTTTTGCCATGTTGCCCAGGCTGGTCTTGATCTCCTGACCTCAAGTGATCTGCCTGCCTGGGCCTCCCAAAGTGCTGGGATTACAGGTGTGAGCCACTAAGCCTGGCCCAGAGTTTTTAATTAAAATATTTCGAATGATTTAGGTGAATTAAAGCAATTTAGAAAGTAAAACTATCTTATTTGCATTTGTATAATTAGATATTTAAAGATGCAATTCAGATAAATGAAATTATTCCTCTTGGGGCATATCTTATTTTTTCGTTGAAACTTAAACTGAAAATAAATCATTCAAAATACATTTGTTACTATGCGAGAGGCACTAACTTCAAGTATTATCTCAGATTTTGTGATCAATTTTAGTATTTCTATCTTTTAGAAACAGGAATAACTTGAAGTGTTAATCTAAATTTAGATATTAACAATACTTATCTACAACCAACATTTTAATTAACCTACTTAATAACATCACTCAATTTTGCTTTAAAAATGAGAGTTACCTTTTACAAAAATTTGTTGGAGTCATTTTCTATAGTAAATGGATAGGAAACTGCTAGCTCCATTTGGTTGGTGCCAGATTTTGAAGTAAGTTAATTGGACTTGCTCTTAAGTTTAACCTGCAGATAGTGTAGAGTGAAGATTCTCTAGTATCTCAAATAAACAAAGATAAGAAAATCAGTCCTCTCTTGAATAGCCAATGGACTCTCAGAACAATAACATTTACCTTAATCTACAACTTAGTTATAAAGTGTGTTTAAAAAACAAATAAGAACAAAGTTATTCACCATCTGCACACCTGAAGAATATGCAAAAGTAAATGACAAAGCTAATTTTTAAAATAATCCTATATTTAAAAATGAGAAAACAAACTGCTTTTTAGGAAGGAGAGTTGATCTTTGATTTTTTTTTTAGTTCTATAATATTTTATTTCTTATTCATTTTGCTTTGTTTTGTTGGTATTTTTATTATATATACTAGTTGTATGTATCTTTTGGGTGCATGTGATATTTTGACACATGTATATAATATAAAATACTATATTAGGGTAATTGGGTTGTCCATTATTGCAAATGTTTATCCTTTCTTTGTGTTGAACATATTACAATTCTTTTCTTCTAGCTATTTTGAAATATACAATATTGTTAAACATAAATTCTCTACTGTATTATCGAATACTAGAACCTATTCTAGCTATCTAAATATACTTTTATAACTACTAACCAAATCAGTCTTCTATTTATTTTTATTTTATTTTATTGTTTTGAGATGGAGTTTTGTTCTGTCCCTTAGGCTGGAGTGCAGTGGCGTGATCTCGGCTCACTGCAACCTTCACCTCTGGTTCAAGCGATTTTCCTGCCTCAGTCTCCCTAGCTGGGATTACAGGTACCTACCACCACATCTGGCTAACTTTTGCATTTTTAGTAGGGATGGGGTTTCACCACGTGGGCCAGGCTCGTCTAGATCTCCTGACCTCAGGTCATCTGCCTGCCACAGCCTCTCAAAGTGCTGGGATTGTTATAGGTGTGAGCCATCGTGAGTGGCCTAAATTAGTTTTTAGATGTCACTACTATTGGTTGATTTATTTTGATGTTACAACACAGGTAAAATAACTTTTGAAGATTTCTTTCTTATTGATCCATAATAGAAATCTGTAAACTAAATTAATTTTTTAATATATATATAATTTAAATTATTAATTTAAAAATTGTAAAAGGTTGTTTTTTTTTGCTCATTCTCATAAAACAAAATACATTTTCAGTGTGCAATAAACTAAGTGTTTTGTGTGTGTAAATCTATGCTTTTATGCAAATATGTATGTAAATTTAAGTATTTCATAGGAAAACTAGCTGTGAAATGTTTCATGTGCAAAAATTAAACACTATACAGATCCTAGTTAAATCTCTTTGGAGTGGATATATCACAAGAGGCCATTCCTAAGACAGACATTGAGGTGAGGAATTTTGAGAAGCTTTCTTTTAAATAAACACATTGAAAGTGTATTTGTCTGTGTATTCTCCTAAGATTACAGTAAAATCATAGACAAGAAAAGAGAGATAAAAATTCACAAGTAAAAATAGAGTGAGAGGGAGACAACTTATTTATTAATGTTGTAATTGTTATTTTGACCAATTTTTGTTTGAAATTTTTAGTTACCATAGTTAGACTGGGAGACAAGCATTATTTTTTGATGAATTTAAGTAGTTGGAACTACCTGCAAACTGGAATAAGCTTACAAGAGAGAGTTTCCTTTTCCCTTTATTCCTAAGCAATTAAGCAGAGATGAAATCTTTGCTTATGGAAATGCTATTACAGGGCATTCGATTAGTATTTGTGCGTGTGCATGTGTGTGTGTGTGTGTGTGTGTGTGTGTGTGTGTGTGTGTTATGGAGAGCAGATTGGAGCTGGGGGTTGTGAGGCAGAAAGGGACCAGATGATCTTGTATATTTTTATACCATCAAGTATCTGTGATTCAAAAATTTTAAAATTCCTTTCTTTTTTACAAACATAGTGTATTCTATGTTGTTATTATTTTAAGAATCAGAACTATCATCTTTACGATAATTGATAGCAACTAGGAAATTAAATTTAAGAAACATTTGAGTAATTACCATTTTTTATTTATTAATCTTATAAAAGCAGTACAATTTGATGATTGTTTCAAATAAAGAAAACAAGACACTTCCAAATGACTTGCAGAGATACTTGAATGTATTGGATTTAGTGCTGCAGCTTTCAGTTTACCCGCAAATGCTTGTGCTCTACTGTTAAGTAGAAGGAAAAAAATTAAAAAGAAAAAGTCAGTGTTTTTAAAAGCTAGAAAATTGGCTAGGGTGATTTTCTGTTTAGAGTTGGTTAAACCTAGTTTGAATCCCAAGTTTGCTATTTTCCAGTTGTATAAGTTTATGCTTTTTTTCAGTCTCCGGTTTTTTTCCTGTCAAATAAAGAAATGAAGTAGAAGTAGAATCTACTGAAGGGCTTTTATGAATATTTATAGAAATTAAGCATGTAAAGGATTTACTATATTGCCTTATAAATTCTTAATAATCATTGACTATTAGTAATTAGATGATGTTAACATTGTAGACAGTCAGCCCCATCATAACAGACGTGACCTATGGCAACTCATATGACATATCTTAATAAAGGTCTAGAGCTCAGAACCATCTGGAAAATCTCTTTCAGTAGACTTCCCATGGAATTCTGTAGCAACGTGGGTAGCAATCAGTTTCTCAGTCTTCCCGGGAAAATGCCAAATAGATTAAATGTATAAAGATAATGATTACTGTTTTGGCATTGTCCTTGAGAGGCTACATGAGAATAAGTGTCTGTTCTTGAAAACCTGTATTTCTATATTCTTTCAGTTATATAAGTAGCTATTGTTAGTTTACATCACTGTGCAGGGGTTTGGCTGGCATAACAAGATGCTGAAGTGTTTTCAATGCATGAGCCTGGTATTCCTGTGTGACTAAGTGCATTGTTTACTAATGACATTAAGTGCAGGGTAGCTCATTTAAAAATTGGTGTATTGTATAAAATGAACCCGATTTAAAATAAGACCATGTATTTTATTTAATCCAAAAATTAATGTTCCTGAAGAAAATGCAAAGCCATTTTAATGGTTACTATGTAATTCTAATAAAAATATCTGGCAAAAATGATCAGCAATTACTTACTGTTAAGCCTATTCTACTTGTGCTGAATGGAGAGGGATTTAAAAAATTTTTTAATTTAAGGATATGTAATAGTAGGAGCCCAGAATCATAATGTTCCCAGAGAGTAATGGTTTATTAACTACAATTCATATACCCTGAGACTAAGTGTGATTTCCTTTTGAGCTTTGACACAAAAAAGCAACAAGCAGTGCTAGTTTGCTTGAAAAGTAACCTGACTTTTGTAACTTGCTGCTGTAAAGCACTTTTTTTCTAGTTAGGCCAAAAAAGTAGGAATAATCTAGCAAATGGTTTCAAAATGAAAAAAAAATCAATACTTAGAGCTGTTAGTGTTCAGCCTCACCTCAGACATCAAGTTTTCTGATTATATGCAATGCAAAAAGCATATTCATGGAAGTAAACAAAGAGGAGGGGGAAATCAATTATTTCTTCATATACCATGAGAATACCTTTTTAAGCTTGCAAGCTTAACTAATAACACAATCAGAAAGAGCACTCTTCATAGTGGGTATAAAAATGGCCTAATTTGAAAGACAATGTCTCTGGCATGCATACCCAGTAGGTTCTATTCAGCAAACTCTTGAGGTTTCATGTTAACATAATGAAATATTGTACTGTTCCTTGTAGGCTAAATTTTTCTTTACCTTTTAAAATCAAAGCCTAATAATATTTTGTTCAACTCTATCTGCATCTAAATTTGAAATTACTTTGCTGAAAATTGTAGATGTACAGCTCTGAAGCCACTAGTCTTTTCCATTTCCTTCTCTTCCCACCCTCATCCAAATCTTTTATAATTAGTTTTTAGAATACACACCATAAACGTTAATAAAGCTCACTTAGGCAGAGCTATTTTATTCAGGTGTCAGGACAGGTGTCCACCTTTGTTATAAGTGTTGACTAATTGGTTTAACTTCTTCAGCGTCTTTAATAAGGAAATGTTGGAATCCAGTGTGATTGTATTTGTGTTAGTCTGGTAATCTCTCTAAGGTGCATGACTCAATTTAATTTAACAATAAACTGTTGTCTATATAGGGGAAGGGCATTTGGGGCAGACTTTTGATGATTTTTCATAAAAGTCATTGCCATATATATATTTATAACCCTATAACTTAAATTTGTATATCTGAAGGGTTCATACATTTTATATTCTCAGATTCTCACCTAATGATAATTGTATTTTTCAGATTACATTTAAGCTTTTAATATAAAAAATTTGAAACACAAACAAGTAGAAAGAAAAATGAAAGAAATCCCTACATATTTATCACCCAATTTTAACGGTTACTGAGACTTTCCTGAGATTTCTTCAACATTTTACTTGATAGAAATATTTCATATAAACTTTTTTTTGAAAGAATAACAAATGCAGGTGAAGTCTTATATACCATAAGAACATATCAGTATAAGAATCTACATCAAAAAATAGAAAATCAGCAAAACGCCAGGATTTCTAATGCCTCTTTTGGAGCTGTTAAGATAACAACCTTAGACAAACTAAATTTAACAGACTTTCATTGAACAAAGAATGATTCGTGATAGGGCAGCCCTCCTGAACCGATTTTAGTTTCAGAGTGATTCCAGTGCTATCATATGTGGTCAGAGAAGATTTATGGCTAGACAAAGGTAAGAGACATATAGAAAGTAGAAGTAAGGTACAGAAACAGACTGGTTATGGATTAGAGTTTGCCTTATTGGAATCCAGCTTTAAGAGTTGACTACCTTTAATTGCTGAAACTCGGTGACTGGCACAAGAGTAGGTTACAGTCTGTTTACACATGCAGTTAGGTTACTGAAATCTTTAAACGAAAGGGACAGCTTTTTGTTAAACTTAATTTAACAGGGCTCAGAAAACAATACATAAAATCATGGCACTTTTCCATGCTGAACTAAAGAAGTAGCTTCAGTGTCTCTTTGACCTTACCCTGCCCTTCTGTCTCTCAAGTCTCTCCCAAACCACAGAACAAAACTGTTCTCTAAAATTCCCTTATCTACCAAAAAAGTGGACCCATCAAAGAGGACACATTTGCTTCAGTTCCTTCCCTGTAGTTTCATTAGCTGGAGAAGAATAAAACTCATATTTCAAAGGAGAGACTAAACATTAAACAGCACACCCAGAGCCCACACAAATTTTGTCCCAAACTATCATCTGTTCTGTGGTCCCATTTAATTTCCAAAGAGAATCACTTAAAATTGTTTGAGCTTTGGGCTCATTCACTTCCCCAGAAAATCATTTACTACCCCTCTCATTTGCCTAAACTCTCCATTTCTGTCTCCCCTGTGAAGACAGTATGTAAGCCTCAATCATCTAGCCCTTCTTGGAGTCTCAGCTTTGCAGGACTCCCTGTCCATATTATGTTAATAAATTTGTATGCCTTTAAAAAAAATCCATTATCAGTAATTTTAATAAATCTTCATTGTGTGGAGAAGAAGCTTTCTCTCCATCCTTACATTCCTCACTATTTTACTCCATCCAGACACCTCCATCACTATTCTCAACTTGAAGAGTAACCAGTATTATGACCTCTATTAAAAACAGATTAGTTTTACCTGCTTTAGAAATTTTATATAAATTAATCATGTAGTATATATTTTTGTATCTTTCTTTGTTTTCTCAACATGTTTATGAGATTCTCCTACCTGTAGTTTGTTCATTCTGTTGTTGTATAGTATTCGATTGAATGTATAGACCACTATTTATCCATTTTAAATCTG